TATTTTCACCTTGAGGCCGCCTTCCACACTGTACTCTTCCATTCAAATGGACATCAAAAAGAAAGCAACCCAAACACCATACGAAGTTGCTGCGTTAGTGGTTGTTTAAACTGAAACTGAAAATATTTCCACTAAAGCAGCAAAACTGCTCAATTTGGTTAAAAAGGCACATTTCTAATCCTCGAGACTTGTTCGGCAAATGAAGCGTACAGTTACTGGGTCACTTTTTCATTTCCATTGACTGCTATCTGTTTGAAGCAGTGGGATGAAATGCACTCACCTGATTCTTTCGAATATATCTGACAATGGAGAACTTATTTTTGCAGTAGAAACAACTAGAATTTCCATAGCTGTGTTTGAATCGACGATTCCACTATCTGGGTTAGGAAATTTATGACCAAATTAATTGTTAGAATAAAAGCAGCCAGTCGTTTAGGGTTTGTGTGTAAGGACTGATTTAGATTTTCTCAGCAGTACTTAAATGAAAGTCAGGTACCTTAGACGGGAACGGAATGTTGATCTTGGGGATTAAGGACAGCAACAAATAATTGCGATCGATTTCTTGCTGCATGGAAGAAATGTGGACCAATCAATGAAAGGGTGTGTAGTTTTCTTCAAAGCTAATGGAATATATTATGGACTAACTAGGATTGAAGTGTATTTTATACCTCCAACAGCAAAAAGGCACTCTGGAATAATTTGTGTATTTCACGGTGGATTCCACCCAAACTGAACATTGACAAGTACTACCAGGCCTACTTTGGCAAGAGAGGGGAAGGAACGGATACTTATCACTTTCATCGAAACCGAAAGAAGACATGTCGCTAGATGTTAACATTTCGTTTAAACTTTTCAATTGCTGTCGTAAAACAATCAAGGACATTTATAACACATTGGATTTATAAATCCCAGTGAGCGGGCAAGTACAGATAGACATGGGCTATTAGAACATAAAAAAGAAGTCAACTCCACGGCAAGTATCAACAACTTTTGGGTGCACAGAACGGGATTAGCAACATCACACACCTTGCCCACAGTTTTGAATTGCAGTTAAGTAACAACGGTTTTAAAGAGGAAGCGAGATAAATTGTGTGTTGGTTGTCATAAGGTGTTTTGCAATTGATGACCCCGGGGTTACGTGTGACCGCCTGATTATTGAATGTGGGTTACTTCATCGACTTTGGAATGTGTTTGGTCATCCTCTGGGATAAATAACGCTTCGTTCTACCTATGTATGCATCACCGCAACTGGTTTACGGTGTGTAAGACAGAACTGGAGTGCCAACCATGTATATATTTGTCCAAATTGATTCTGCAAGTAGAGGCGGTAAGTCGAAGTTGAACCGCTGGGAATGTGCAGTTCAAAGCTAATTTTAACTTTTGGCGCGCAGCGTTCAGAAGTGATCATTCTTAAAAGATAGTTTGATGAAGACGGCTTTCTGGGGAACAGTTGGCGATGGGTTAACTTTTTGAAATTGCTTACTATGGGTAGCAATGAATTTTTGGGTAACCATTTAGTATTAGTTTTATTTAGGATGTCTTCTTCTCCTCAAAGTGTGTCCAAAGGAAAACTTTTCCTGATTCAATGGAACAGAGCTTTTACGAGTCCATGTTTGTAAGCCATGGGCAAGGAGCTAGAGAACTGTAGATACTGATCACTCCATGTTACCTTACTGTGGAAAGAACGCTGCAATGTACCATCTAAACGTCTCATATTTATAATATCCAAAAACGCTAAAGAATTGTCGATTTCTTCTTCGTGGGATACAGGAAGATGTGAAAGGAATTCAAAATGTTCACACTCCACTAGAATAAAAATATCATCGACATAACGTCTGTACAACGTGGACTGGGAGATATCATTAGCAAGATTTTGTTCAACTGTTCCTAAGAAAACAGCTAGAATTGGGCCTAATGGACTGCCCATGGCTACGCAATCAATCTGTTTGTATGTGGCTCCTTCGAATTAAAAACGAAAATTTTCAATACATGGAAATATTAGTTCTCCTAACTATTCAACAACAGATAGCAACGGCAAAAAAGTACCTAAGGAAATTTATTCACATAAATTTCAGTTTTATGACATCCATTGAATACATCCGCCATTAAAGAAATCGTCATTTTTTCTTGGCAGGTTAGCACTTTCGGATATTAGAATTATGAGGCGCTTTGATGGCAGATTACAACGTTCTATCTACAGAAATACAAAGAAAATCGGATCCAATGTTGACGGAACAAAAATGGGCTACCTACTGAACCCAATCTAACTGATCAAATTGTTTCATTTTACTGATACACAGTATAATACGACCAAACGTTTTAGATTCATAGACAGAGAGTTGCATATTCGATTTTCAGGGTCTAGGACCCACTAGGAAAAACAGTCGGTATACGAATATCATTCGTGGTGGACAAATGGTATTTCGCAATCAAATTAAACCTCTAAACACACACATGAACACAAACACCTAGAAAGAATAGTGAGACTGTTACCTCTGTTGGTTATGATCAACTGTAATCGTTTTTCCACCCAAATAAGCGTCAAACCCGGGACTTTAGAAAATACATAAACGTGCAAACGCTTTCATTGCTGGGTGGCTGGTTACGTATGCATGCAGCATCAAATATTTAGTTGCACATTCATGTCTTCGCTGGTTGCAGTTTTCATTTTCTACGTCTGAATTACTGTTTGGAGAAACCCTGTCCAAATTGTTTCCCATAAAAACCTTTCATTTGTATTGGATTAGGGCATAACTTTATTGTACTATACAGAAAATTAATTAGTTAGTTTGAGTCATTATTATTAAACGTTTTTAAAGAGAAATGTTGAACTTCTGTTCGCAATGTTTAGATTTAAGATAAGACAACGATTTTACTTTATCCACTTTCTCAAAATCGCACCAAACAGAGATGTTTTCGTTTCATTCTAATACAGAGGGTGTATTGATGATGCGTTTGAGCTGCACGCGGATACTGATGGTCAGATGTATGAATACTGCCTAAAAGGCTGCATACAAAAACCCAAGTGCTTTGATGCATTTATTCCCGATGTGATTCTTGATGTAAGTCATGGTCATTCGCTTTTGTTTTGCTTCAGAAACATAACGATCCAAACACCATGCACACCGTCACACTCCTCATAGTGACCATAATTTGGGATGTTTTAACCTATCTACAGAATTCTCTGTATGTTCTAAACATGGACACGAGTGATGTGCCTGAGAACGGCCCTAAAGGCCTCTCGACTCATTTTAAATTTTAATGCATTTGGGAAATTACATGTAAAATATACAGTCCTGATTTTAAGTGGTTCTCATTGTGCAATCTTCGGGGTCCTTAAATCCTAACAAAGCAATCAAAGCTACCTTTTTTCAGTAAATAATTATCGGCGTTTTTCATCACTATGGATGCACCATGATCATCATGATCATGATCATTATCCGAGTTACCATCATCATCATTATCATCACCGTCATCATCGTCATTATCAACCGGGATATCATCATCTTCATCCCAATCGTCTGTACATAAGCCGTGTTATATACTAATGTTTTTACTGAATGACATTTTGGTAAAAGGTCCAGGGCGGTCAAATGAAGACCTCACATGAGAGTATGAAAATTTTAACTAGGTCCAGTTAGGCTCCATGACTGGGGATCCCGAGATCATGGTCACCGATTGTTAGAGACGCTGAGCTGTATGACTGGGTATCGCAAATAGTGGCGTTCATGCATTATTATACTTGGAACATCAGTCTATATGAATTCTCCATCTTCCGCTTTGATTGGCTCTAAACATTCCTGACCTGAGAAATGTTACCCACGGTAACCAAAACGTCGGCGAATATAATTCTCTACCGACATCACTGTGTTACTAACATTATTACATTCGCAATTCCAATCTTCATTCCCCTCTTTTATCCAAATGGGTGGCTAAGAAACAGCAACCAAAACCGGCGCACGAAAGTGCATGTTTAATGGTTGTAAAAACTGAACTGAACTGAACTGAACTGTTATTATGGAAATCCTCTTTTAGACAACTGTTTCATGCTAGGGCAGCATAAATGATATCTGCACTGAAATTCGCAAACCATCGTTCTACGANCTCTTTTATCCAAATGGGTGGCTAAGAAACAGCAACCAAAACCGGCGCACGAAAGTGCATGTTTAATGGTTGTAAAAACTGAACTGAACTGAATGTTTTTTCAACTGTTGTTATTCTAACACATACTTATGGACGGTAATCGGAATCACGTCACAGGGTCCAATAGCTACTGTTTTTCATGCTAATAAACTGAAAAGAAAATCAAGTCACTCGAAAGACAAATAAAAAAAGCAATCGATGAAATGTGAACTTGTTTAACAAATTTAAATTTTACTAGTTCATTTTGCTTGTGCATTTTGGACAATGGATGTCTTTTTCTGACATTTTAGGTCAAATACATTGCTCTAGGATTTCAATTTTCATACAGACCATATACTAATCCTAGCATTGCTCATTTACGGAACATCGCAGAATATGTAAAGCAGTTCAAAACTGTGAATCAATTTGCGCCAACCAGATGTAGCTCCTAATCGGATATTCTCCTATCTCACACTCATTTAATAGAATTTTCGACTGTGGTCTGGCCCTACGGATATGCGGAGAAATTTTCCCCAAAATAATGTGTACAGAATTTTACCGCTGTTTTCTCTATTGAGTTTCATTTGAAGAGGGGGGAGAAAAGATGGTTCGACTGTGGTTTTACACTGTTCGCTATTGTAATCGGTTGCGATCAACTTGGTTGAAGTCTGACTGGTTCTTTTGCTCCATCTAACCTGTTCAAAGTTTCTTATTTTTCGTTGGGAAGAAATGCCGCGTGATGGTCGGTGGTAAACCTGAGGTTCAGGAAGAGGCACGAGGACCCGGATTAGCGGATACAGACTACGTTCTCATTGTGGATTCCGTGAATAATGAGCAATGCACGGACGGGACATTGGCTTACGCAACAGTTTGTCAGGTTGAGTCAAAGTTAGACAGGTGAGTGCTACAAACTAAGTCCATTCAGATAATGTGAAGTCGTTGAAAATTCTGTTTACTCCCCCTAAAAGGGGATTAGGTGAGCACGATTTTGAATGAATCGAAAAAGGACAATTTCTATTTTAAATGCTATTTACTCGGAGTTAAACAATTAGAAAAAGTGCAGTAAATGGGGTCGAGTCCAAAAAGGACAAAACTGTGTACTGGGATGACTAAATGTGTAGTTCAAGAGTAGTAAAGATATCGAAGCATTTGCCGCGATCATAGTAGGAATAATGAGTATAATCTATTGAGATCTTTCAAAAGAATTTCTAACATGTGTTAAACTGTTTGATGAAATGAAGATGATAAGTTGCTTTCGTAGAATGGCGATGTACTCATACAGTTATTCGGGAGATTTGTAAAATGTCTAACGTCTTTTGTAGGCGGACTGGGGAAGATTATTGGAGATCCGTTGAGCAAACAGGACAAAGTACACGGAGAAATAAAAGGTTCCATTCTATGTCAATGTGAACAGAACGACTGGAAGAAGGATGCATTAAATGAGACCGTTTGAGTCTTTGTAAAACCGGTTTCGATAAGATTCAAACAGTTGGAATGATGGCTGAAAGTTACACGTAAATATGTACCGACTGATGTTCCAATAATTTCGGTCATTAGGGCTGAAAACATCAGGATGAGGTACGGACAGTTCCTCGGATTTTTGGCTTCTTAGGAGCAAGCAAAGAACACCACTGTATCTAGCAACGTTCAAAAGCAAAGTTTGACAGTCAAACTAGACTGAGTTGGAAGATAAATCAGACTGCATAACACAAGGAGTAAACCCATTGGAAGAGAGTGCTTTTTAAAGAATAAAATGTTTATATTTATGGATTACGGGATTTTCGCCAGGGGAAATGAAAGTTACGAAGGGCAATGAGGATTCAAAGAGAAAATAAGATGTAGTATTCGGAATAGAAATCGTAATCGAATAGCGCCTACACGGATTCGGACGGAAAAGCCACTGATTAGCCCAAAGTCAGGTTTAACTAAGGCGAGCAGTCGATATGGTTAATTCTATTCGGAAAATTATGCCAATAAATATCACAACCATCCAACAATACTTGGTCGATTCGTCATTGTCCAATCGACTACGACATGGCCTATTTGCTTGCCTTCTTGCATTTAGCCAACGCGACTGGTGTTAATTGAGACCACAGGATTGGTCGGTAAATCTGTTTCCTTATTGGTCACCTGGAGGCTGTCTCGTGATNCCGATGGTTAGCTACACTGAGTGATATGGCTGGGTGTCGCAAACAGTGACACTCGTGCATCCACTCGTCATTTTCCTAACACCACTCTTTTTGAATTCCCCATCTTCCGCTTGAATTTGCTTCGACGTTCCAATCTTCATTTCGCCCTTTTATCCAAATGGGCAACCAAAAGACAGCAACCAAAACCGGCGCACGAAAGTGCA